TTTTTTTATTTAGCTTTGTCATGCAAGGAACTTTACGAGAACAATTTGTAAGTAAGGTTTGATAATTTTTATTCTTTACGAGTTTCACTATATATAGATATGTTTTACTATGATAATAATGGTATGTCATGGAACTAAAAAACGAGTTCAGTAACACCTATTTTATGCCGGTTATCAAATCTTCATCAACGTGGCAAAACATAACTTTGGGCAAAGATTTAAAACATTTAAGAGGCGGCTTGAAACTAGGCCTTGAATATTGGTGTTCCAGATACTATATATATATAGCGGATGATTTCGTCTTAGATCCTTTTCACCATGGCTAAATGAAGTTTTACTTTACTTCGCTTTGCATTAATTCTGGCGTGAATATACTCCAACTACACCTAAAGCACCTTTAACTTTGGCTCTGAGCCCTTTCAAATCACTGAGTGGAGTGTTCGCTAATTAGTATGGATAATTAAATGGTGACGAGTGAAATTAGGAAATTATTTAGACAATTTACGTTTTATATTATAATTTCCCGAGCCTTTAGGCGAGGGACCTTATTAGAATTTTCGCAGAAAATAAGTGAAATTATTTTCTCTAAGTTCACGAGTATACCATTTGATTGCGTTTTTATTATGGGTGACCAGTTACACGTGGCCTTTTGACTTGTGTATTGGTTGGAGAAATCTCGCGTCGAACGTTGCCTTGGCAATTTTGTATCATTGCGTTAGAAATGATAAATTAACGCTGAAATTTCGCGCCAAAATTAAGGACTAATTTGTCACCTATGATATCATCATCATTATTATTAGTTCAGTTTTGGGTCTGTGATTGTTGAAGCAATTTAATTCTACAGGACCAACGGATCGAATCCACACTGCGGTCTTGGAGCATGTGGAGTGAGCCGATGGGCTCTTGTCATGAAGATTGACGGCTCAAAGGTTATTACACATTGTGTTGAAAATATTCCTGCAAATAATAATAATAAATCAAAATGTGCTAGTGTGTAAGATTTTGAGAGTCTGAGAGTTAAGAGGGTAGTGTTGGTCAGACGGTCTTGGTGTCTTTAGTCTGGTCTATTGAAAGTGACCAGACTACTTTCGTTCACACTATCTGAACTTCTGCTTGCTGTGTTAAATGTTAAGATATTACCATTGATATTCATTGTTTCTCCAGCCCCCAAAAGGTATAGAAAACGCAATATAAGTCTCTTGTTAGTTTTAATCATTGCACATGTTAGAATCATTTTCCGAGGTCAGAAAGCTCTGGATTAATATGGTATCTTGCATTTACCATAATTTGTTTTCACTCCACATAACTCTAAATACGGGCAGCTTGACAGTTAAAGTGCACCTCCCCCCTTTTTTTTTTTTTTTTTTTTCGCTATAACGAATCTACGTGTTATTTGAAATCCTTCTGCGAAAAAAAATGTGGATTCGGTTAAATCCTCAATTTTCTGTGCCCCAACGAAATCTCGAAATAGCTCTAAGACACCGCCATTTTGTTTCGCGACCGAGTTTGAGGAGAATGGGTCCAGCGGCTGTTGTGACGTCTATCCAGGAAGGTTGAATATCTCACGTCCTCTCATTTCCTTCAGGATGGTGCAGTACACATTCGAAACGTGCTCAGAAAAGCCTTCCAGAAGAGCTATCGGCCGTTGCAGCAATATCCCAGATATAAAGAAAGATATACATGTACTGTACGATTTACTGGCGATAGGCTGTCAATGCTACAATAAAGACGTAAACGGTGGTTGATTTTGTCGAACCGAAACAAGCGAACTGAGTCCCTGAGAACCATTGAAAAACTCTCACTGGAATTTGTTCCGCCGACTTTCAAACGCTATTTTCAAAATTTTCTGCTTAAAGCCAACCAGCAATTCGTAGAAGCACTACCAACAGCCTATATCTTCCAGTCCCGCAGTATTTATAACATAGCCGGCAAAGTTGTGTGATCAATCAAGAAGCGTTACGACCGACGTACTGATATGTAAATGTAGGTCGCAGCTGTACGCCGCCAACCAACACTTATTTCTCTTTCGATTGAGATAAAAGTCGAAGATTAATCCTTACGAATTACATGATAACAAAACTGTTAGACTCAGAGAGTTTTTCAAAGGTTTGGAAATCAGCAGTGCGACAAACATTCTGTGCAATAGTTCGTATTCGTAATCTGTGCAATAGTGTCGAAAATATGACCGCGT